ATTCCTTTATAGGCAATATATCTTCTAAATAGCGTTTATTTACAAACAAAGAGTCGTCGACTCTAGCACTATTAACAACCTGTTGCTTTATGCTTCTTCGGCTTTACTTTGATTAATCTATTTTTCTAATCGTTTTCTTTAGTTTATATATATATATATATATATATATATACATATATACATATATACATATATATATATATATATATATATGTTTATGAAAATTTATCATTATAACAGAATAAGAAAAGAAAGGAAAGAATAAATATTTTACGCAATTATATTCATAGATATCTACAGGTATATATTTCAAAAATCTGGATATAAATGAATGCACATTGCTTTCGCGTGATACGAAAGAACAAAAGAAGGCAATATTAATCGCATAAGTATAATAATATATTAGTGTTAATACTATTATGATCTCTTTCTTTTCGATCGTAGATTATATACCTACATATATATATATATATGTATGTATTTTGAAGAATGATCGCGTGTTACAGACCGAAAGATAGATAAAGAGGAGAGAGAAAGAGAGAGAGAGAGAATAGTAAGGTGGAAGGTAAAAAGAATGAGCGAGACGAATAAGCACCGTCCGGGAGATTATCAGATAAAATATCCAATTTAAAGTTTCATCGTAATTTTACGATTCTTGGAAGAAAATTAATAGTATTATCTAGCGGTACTTCCCAACCGGGGCATACTACCCCCTCATCCTCCTTTTCTCTTCTCTTCTTTACCCCTCCCCTACTTCCCCTCACTCTTTTACCATCTCTTTCTCTGTCTCTCCCTCGCGCTCTCTTTTGACTCACTTCATCATCTTACTTTCTCGCTTTTTCCACTAACATCCTCTACGATTTTCTCTCTCTCTCTCTCTTTCTCTCTCTGTTTTTCTGTTTCTGTCTCTCTCTCTCTCTCTCTCTTTCTCTTTCTCTTTCTCTTTCTCTTTCTCGCTCTTTCATCTCGGGAAAGAAAGTTTGAAAATAAGCAGCCTATTACTCATTACCAGCCGGTCTTATCGGCTTGGGACTCGGAAGGTACTTTCAGCTGATATAAACGCGCTCTTCGTGTTTGTTAAATACGCTGGTTCAATGTAAACTTTTCTTTTGGTGATTCTTCAATCGTGAAAAGTAATCGTGGAGTATGCATGTGCGTGATATCGAGTAAAAGATATTTCTATATGATTTGTATGATTGAAAATATTGTTTTTATACGATATTAATTGGAAAATAATTAATTTATTTTGACGGCGATCGTTCGCGATCTTACGTCGATTTTGATGAGTGTCTATGTATTCAAGTATCTCTTGATTATTTCAAACAAACAGATTCATTCTTTTAAGACAAGTAATTGTTCCTTATGTTTTTCTTTCCTTTCTTTCTTTCTCTCTCTCTCTCTCTCTCTCTCTCTCTCTCTCTCTGTCTGTCTCTTCCTTGAAGATACCTTTTAGAAAATCAATCTTCCTCATGATGGTAACTGCGGTTTGCTATCTGCTGTGAGATCCTTTAACGATTGCACGTTTAAAGGCAGAGTCAGGATTTCGTCTGGTCTTTGGCTCTTGCGAATACATCGACCGTCGAATTGAACGGAGCGTAGACCTTCTTGTCCCCATACCCTTTAACCTCTTTCCCCCTTCCCGCCGCTGCCATCGCTGCCGCCGCCGCCGCCGCCGCCGCTACCCTCTATCCGACTCTATCAGTCCCGCCCTCGTTGGAAAATCGTAGCTTTCTCTAGACTCGGGTCAGAGATCAGCTTTCGACGCTTTTGTTCCTTCGGTATGGACACACACGTGAGGTTTCATCCGATCGACCGAATCTAATGGATCTGATTTGTCGCTAAATTTCGTGCTCTAGGATAACCTAGAGATCGGCCATGACGAAGTTTCCTTTTCAACCCCACCTCCGCTCCCCACCTCCTCGTTCAATTGATTCGCTCAATTTCGTTCGATTTTGAAGTGGGTATTTTATTTTTTCTCTTTTTTCTTTTTTTTGCTCTTCCTCTCTTTTTTTTTTTCTTTTTTTTTTTTTTTTTTTTTTATTTTCTTCTCTTTATATGAAAGATCGAAGGCTATCGTTTCAAGCTATATCGAACTATTCGTCCGGGAGAGTCTTCTATGACGTTTATTTCTTCTGTTAGCGATTGAATGTAAAGTGGATTTGGCGTCGTGCGTGACCAAAGCAATTTTAGATTGAATTTGATGATATCGTAGAACAACTCTTGAACCGAACCGAACCGACCGAACGAAGGAACGAACGGTTAAGGTACATAGAGGTAACGTAGGTAAAACGGGAAAGCTTGGAACTCTTAAAAGATTTCGCGCACGAGATTTTGGAAGAATACCGATGAATACTTATCATTATGATTGTGTTAATACATGAACGCACGTACGCACGCATACACACAATCACGTATACACACATTAACCTGTGGGAATATGTACGCACGCGCTTACGTAATACGGTAATAATTTCAGATAGTTATCTTGTAACCATTTCGTTGAAAATACCTTACGTAATTATAATTTTAACGGAATCCTTAATTACCTAAGTAAGTACATACTTACTTTGGAAAATGATCGCCATAAGTCGCCATATTTAATTTTTCATATGGTTTACGAACGCGTAAAATTTCTAAGGTACACGAAAAGCAAAGTCAAAAAGCATTAGAGTGCTCTCGAACGAAAGTTTACATATATATATATATATATATATATACACATATATACACATATATGGAGATACCTGTATATATAAGTATAAGCGTATGTTTGTACGTATGTAAACTTAAGTTTATATGTGTAGATTTAGACCGACAGACTTCGTCTTTCGAAAGGAGATGCCGAAATCTGCGTAACAAGCTGCAGAATCTTTCCGACATAAGGTAATTAACTTTGGTAAGCCACGGTGAAGCGAGATGGGCGAAAGGAAGCCCGCATAACCATACGCTAAGTTTATTTTACGGGATGAATTTAGTTAGTCGAGAGAAAGATAGATAGATAGATAGGTAGATAGATAGATAGAGAGAGGGAGAGAGAGAGAGAGAGAGAGAGAGAGAGAGAGAGAGAGAGAGAGAGATACTCCTCTCTTGTATAAGTTTATCAGGTGGGATTCTTCGGCAGTTACGAAGCGAAGAGTAATGTTTAATCAAGGCAATAGACCGTGTATATTGTTATCTAAGTTTGATTGAAATTCGAACGATCGATCGATCGACCGATTCAATAGATCGTAATTCGAAAAGATTCTCTCCTCGAAATAATTCAAGATCGATTATGATACTTTATTCCACCAAGTAGATATTAACGAGGATATTAACGTCCTACTTAATTGGTTTGCTTTAGAATTATTATCTAATAGAAGATACTTGAATAATACTCTCTTATAATACCGTACTAGCAACTTTCTCTTCTCTTTCTCTCTTCTTCCTCTTTCTCTATTATCATCCTCATAGTCCTCTCTCTCTCTCTCTCTCTCTCTCTCTCTCTCTCTCCATATTTCTTACTTATCATCGTCTTTCACCATATCAGTCAATTTCTCGTCCGATAGACACGCACGATAGATCGCTTATACTACTGCCGCGAGAGCTGCCGTGCATAACCTTAATTTCCGCTAGGATCCTCTTAATTAAGGATCCTCCACTTCCCATTAGATTCTCTTCCTTCTACATGCTAGGTACCTATTCCTCGATAATACTCTTTTACCGAACTAAAGATAACGTTTATATTTTCCGGCATCGATAAACGTGTCCGTTATGATAGTTTATCGTACACGTATAATACATATATATATATAACTTTCATTTCGATATGCTTCAAATTCCTAGAAGGGAAATACTACTCATCGTGGAAAAGCTTTATCAATCAATCTCGTAGAGATCTTCGATACAAATTGTACGTACGAACGTTTCAAACGTCTATTTATCGTTACGAATTTCGTTCGATTTCAAACGAAATTTCACATCGTCTTATTATAAATATTAATGATTAGATATTTATATGATTATTAAATACATTCAGAAAATTCATAAGTATTATATATACATAGATACATGCGTCTTGGTTTTAGAAAGATTCTCTAATAAAAATGTTGCGATTATTTAAATACGATATTCTCATATCGTATAAATATTTATCATAAGTTCGAGAAAAATATGTTTTCGTCCTTTGTCGAGAAATATTTCAAAGGTTATTTTAATAATGCAATCGCACGTTCATGATCGTCATGTTTTATTATCGAATATTATATACATTTATCAACATAAATATCTCGCAAGTTGAATTATTATATATATATCACATTGATCGTAGCTATCCGATTGGTTTTTTTTTTTTTCTTTTTTTATTCGATGATTCGTTGATCGAAGTGAAACTTTATATTCTCTCTCTTTCTCTCTCTCTCTCTCTCTCTCTCTCTTTCTCTCTCTCTCTCTCTCTTACTCTCTGTCGTTCGACGAGATCCTTTAAAAGCTGCCGGTGACATCCACCTATAGAAACGTATCTACATATTGCTTGTCGGAATAAATAATTCATGTAGAGATGAGAGTTCTCGTCGGGGGTTAAAAAACGGCGTAGCGTCGGGGTGTGAAAGGGTGGATTGAGGATTGGTGATGGGAGGATGAGGAGTGCAGGTTGGGCTGGCGGTAGGATGGGGTAGGAGAGAGGTTTAAGGGAAAGGGCGATGAATCGATCTGTAGATGTTTTAAACAGCTGCTTCTAAAGCCGGCATTTAAATACGAAACACATTTCGCACTTGTAGTAATGAATTTCAGAGAGGACGCAGACGACGACGACGACGACGACGACGACGACGACGACGACGACGACGACGACGACGGCGACGGCGGCGACGACGAGGAGAAGGAGGGAGGAGGGGTAGGACGATGAGTACCGAGTTGAAAAGTTGCTTGCAGTAACCAAAAAAAAAAGAAAAAGAAGAGGATGAGAAAGACGAAAAAAAAAAGGGAAAAGAGAAATGAAAGAAAGAGGAAGATAGAGAGAAGAAGATGAAGAAGGAGGAGGAGGAGGAGGAGGAGGAGGAGATACAATGAAGAGAGGTAAATGTAGATAGAGGGAGATGGAGTTGCTGTCGAGTGAAAAAAAAAATAAAAACGCAGATGATGTTGAAAGCTTCGGAATATATTCCACGGTAGGAACACGGACGACGAATGAACGAATGAACGAATGAATGAACGAACGAACGAATCGCAAAAAGTCGCATTAACGGTACTAAACCATAGCGGAAGATTTCCTAAGAGAGATGACGCGTGCGTTTTTTCTTTTTTTTTTCTTCTTCTTCTTCTTCTTCTTCTTTGTCGATCGAAAGGGAAGAGAGGAAAGAAGAGAGAGAGAGAGAGAGAGAAAAGAATAAAAAAAAAAAAAAAAAACAAGAAAGTCGAAGAAGAAGAAGAAAACAATCGACCGGTTTTCGATGATTTTCAATCACTTGTCGTTGTTTGACTTCTTCTCCTTCTTTTTCTTGATCTTTTTCTTCTTTGTCTTCTTCTTCTACTACTCGTTCGTTAATAAAAATTAACGCTTGTAAAAATTTCGAAAAGATTTTTTTCATTACTTAGAAAGAAATAATAATTGTAAGGATAGGAGAGGAGTTTTCTCTCTCTCTCTCTCTCTCTCTCTCTCTCTCTTTTCCTGTCTCTTTAATAAAATCTTTATCGATCTTAAGCTTTTTTTTTTCTCCCTTTATTTTTATTTCTATTATCTTTTTTTCTTTTTCTTATTCATTTGAAAGTTTGATGTATAATTAATATCTATCTACATTGATAATTGTTATATGAAAATATATAATTAATTTTTCAATAATTTTAAATTTTTCTAAAAGAAATCAAATCGTAATAGTGATTTTGGTGTAATTTATAATATTTGCACGGTTCGATTCGTACGTGAATGGGATCGGTTGGTACATAGGAAAATTGCTACATTGTATATACGTGAATATATATATATATATATATATATATGTATATAGAATATGTGGACAGGGTACCGTTAGGAAAACAGGACGTGTCGTTCTAACGAAGTCGTTGAAATCAGGATCTTGCAGAATGGTACGTTGTTCATTGTCGTTGTCGTAGTCGTCGTCGTGTCGTGCGAGTCAGTTCAAAGGCTCGTTACTGGTTAAGTACTTACACCTCTATGAGTCACGAGAACTCAGGTCAGACATCCAACTCTTCAAGCAACAGGAGGATACGAGAAGTAGTATAGAGATACTAGTAGTCACGCCGGCCTCAGGCTCATTGTCACTCAATGACGACCTCCAAACTACTTTTGTATGAGTGTGTGTGTGGATGGATGGGTAACGCGCCACATGTGCATGTATGCGGACGTGCGTGCATCCGTTTCTGTACTAGTGCGCTTGTATCTGTATAGACAGAAACGATAGAGATAGAGAGAGAGAGAGAGAAAGGGAAGGAGGGAGGGAGGGAGGAAGAGAGAAGGAGGAACAACGGTGAAGCTTCTATCAAAGTTTCTTCAGGGAAAAGGAAGTTTGGCCACTCTGTTCGTAGCACGCGGAACTTCGTCTTGCGGGTACAAAGGTATAAAGCTGTCGTGTCGCATCGTGTCTATGCAACTTACCAACGAGAACTCTCTCTCTCTCTCTTTCTCTCACTCTCTCTCTCTCTCTCTCTCTTACTCTATATCTATCTCTATCTCTAATTCTAACTCCATTTTTCCTCTTTCCTTTTTTAATTTTTCTTTCTCTTTCCTCAATTTTTTTTCCTAAAATTTCCGTTTTTTATCAAAGAGAACAGGAAAAAAAAATTAAAGGACGTTCCTTTTATTAGACTACTGTGTTCTTCTTCTCTTTTCTTTTTTTTTTTTTTTTGTTGTTATTTTTATTAAATATTATTTGTCTCAAGATAAATTTCCTTCTTTCGTTTATTTGAAACTGATCGTTCATCGACGTCTATTATTTTAGTTCTGTCGAGTAGATATTGTGTAATAAATTCTTTTTTTTTCATCTTTTTTTTCCTTTACATCAAATACTTAAATATAAATAAATATTGTACACCGATCAATGACATTTGTTATTTCCAATATTTGAGTAAAAGTATTGGTACTTTTCTCAAATATTGGGAATACTTTTTCTTTTCAAACTTTCTTTCCGAACAATTTATCAAAGAGATCGCTTTCTTTTATCGTACTTTTTTTTCTTTTTTTCTTTTTTTTATTCTTTTATTTCCTACGACTGAAAAAGGAAAAAGAGAAAGAAAGTCCAGTGAAAAAAAATATTGAAACAATAATGATAAACGAATGCCGATCGTTAAAAAGAAGAAGAAGAAGAAAAAAAAAGAGAAGTTTCTTCTTGTTATTTTATCTTATTTTATTTATCTATTTATTTATTTATTATTTTTATAGCGTTATTCCTGGTTGTTTGTTTCGATATCGACTACGAAGCCGTGTCGACGAAAGGTCGATTTCTTGTTTCCTTTGCGGAGCAAGACGGAGGCGTTGCGACGTCTTCGTGGAAAATCCTAGGTACGTGGGTAAGTACGTTGTACCTTTTAAAATTCTTCAGAGAAATCAACGTGACAGTAACGGAAGTCGTAACGGTGCACGATCATTCATACGATATAACCATATTCACGAGAACTTTTTTTTATTTGCCTTAGGCGATGCAATTTTTTCCTTTTTTCTTTTTTCCATACTTTTGCATTTGTTTTATCATCATCATCATCATCATCATCATCATCATCATTGTTATTATTTCTTTTTTTATTATTGACACACGATCGTACACACACACACACACACGCACACATACACACTCACACAAATGTACATTCGAATCTGCTGAGTTTTTCTTTTCAAATTCGTGACTCGTACTTCGATAACGTTTTAACAAATGAGCGAAAGACAATTTATTCGTTTCTGGTTTTCCAAGCGAACCAAGATGTTGGAATGGTGTGTCTTTCTTTCTTTTTTTTTTTTATCTACGGAAAATAGGTATGGTTTTGTCGTGAGAATGTGAAAGAAATGAGAGACACAATAAGACAGTGGCCCAATCGTCGGACCATTTTCTTCAAGAACGTCTCTACGTAGTCGTCTACGGAAAACGTAGCGAGTGTAAACGGAGAATGGTATTCCCATGGGAGAAAAGGGTAAATGAATAGAGACAACTTGTATCGCGGCTTGAACGAGGGTTGAAGAGGCGAAGAAGTAAATGCCTTTCGAGGGGTAACGCAAGAAAGATAGAGAGAAAGCAAGAGAGAAAGAGAGAGAAAAAAAATTACAGAAGCGATCTCCAAACGGGGATCTTTCGAAGGAAATAAGTAGATATATATGTACGTACGAACCCATCGACTTTCTTCAATTCTTCTTTCTCTTTCTTAAATCTTTATCTTCTTTTATCGAAGATTTCGAATTGAAATCGGAGATGTCGTTTAAAAAGACGTCGAACCGCGCTTGATAAATTTTTTTTTTATGTCTGATTTGGCTTTTCTTCTTTTTTTTCTCTGTACCTTTAACTTGAGAAATATTACTATTATTATTGTTATTATTATTATTGTTATTATTATTATTATTATTATTATTATTATTATTATTATTATTATTATTATTATTATTTTGCGCGTTTCCATGAATTTTCCGTGTGTACATATAATTCATATAGTTCGTCCTGAGTTTTTCATTTTTCTTTCTTTCTTCTTTTTCTTTTTTTTTTTTTTATTTTTTATAGATGTATGTGTTGAATAAAATATAAAAATGAGAATTCTTAGGGTCGACCTAGAGATATGTCTCATTTAATATACATGAAAAGAGATTTTATAAAGTTGATGAAAGTAAAGTAGGAGAGAGATAGAGAGACAGAAATAGAAGGAGACAGAGAGAGAGAGAGAGAAAGAATGAAAGGGTTGTTCTCAAGAATCACGTTCAGCATGCTTCGTACTCTTGCAATTTCTTTGTGAAATAATGTAATTTTATGGATTTAAAGATCGTAATATATATCATACACACGTATATATATATATATATATATATATATATATATATATATATATATATATATACATATAACAAAAATTTTTTCGTCATTTGAAAATAATCCCTCGTATATTATCCTTATAAAGAATTATCTTTACCTTTCTGTCTTTCTTTTTTTCTTTTTTTTTTTTGTTTTTTTTTTTCTTCTAATTACGTGCGTTCCTATATATTTTTTCGTCCTCGAAATTTCTCTATACCAGTTCGTACTTTTTACCGTTTCATTTTCGATTTATCAAAGCGATTTTAACGGAATTGCAGTTCGTTATTTCCGTGTCTGGGCATGGCAAGTCGAATGCGAATCGATTTCTTCATTTCTAACAGATAGACCAAACTTGTAATTCAATATAAACTTTTTTCCCCCTCTTTCTCTCTCTCTTTCTCTCTCTCTCTCTCTCTCTCTCTCTCTCTCTCTCTCTCTCTCTCTCGACATATTCCTTTTGTGGAATATTATTATGTGATCGATAAAGTATCACATGTTAAGAATTCAATTAACAAGCCGATCTTATTACCTTTTACCTTACACTTTAATCCAGATTTCTATGTAAGTAAGTAGTTACACGTGTAACCGCGAACAGAATTCTTAAGGGAGAAATCGTATTAGCGATGGAATTGATTCTTTCTCTTTTTTCTCTCTCTTTCTCTCACACACATATACACGCACGCACACAGATATCTCTAAAACTCCAATTTCCCATGAGATTTACTTTTTCGATCATTAAACGTCTTTACTTACATTTTTCGCTTCCGTAAAAGACGTTCGATGCTCAAAAAGATTACTCCATTAATTGTAATAAATATCTCACAATAATCATAATATATTTATTAATTATATACAGTTAATAATATTTATTAATTGCAATAAATAACTCACAATAATTATAATATTTATTAATTACACTTAGTCAATAATGATTATATATATTTATTAATTATATATTATACAATATAATATTTATTAATAAGATATTAATTGAGAAAATAATTTGAAGAATATTTTTTAATATTAATTATTTTATGTTTTACGATCCTATATGAGTATTATATTTCGCGATAATAATAGAAGATTATTCCAAATAAAATTTTTCGTTATATTTATAGATCTTTGATTTGTTCGTGTGTGCGTGCGCATGAATAATATTGAGTTAGGTTATATTAAGTTAGATAAACAAATTAATTCTGATCGTTGTTAATTCTAATTCATTAATGAAAGTTTTGTCATGAGAAGTGGGTGTAACAGGAAGGTAAATAAGAAGGGGGAGTTAAGATCTTTGGACAACTCGAGTTAGGGGTGAAAGTAAGTACGTGTTTTGTGTAAGTACGTGTATATTAAATGACAGTTGTATAGTCCCTCTCTCTTTCTCTCTCTCTCTCTCACACTTTTTTTACAATTGTAATAATAACAAAATGACATGAGCGATGGAATGAAACATTTAACGGTAAAACAAATTTTTCTTGTGTTATTTTATTAGGGCGAATGATATAATTGAAATGGAAGTATCGGTATCGATATTAGAAGGTTGAAAAAAGAAAAGAGAAAAAGAAAAGCAACGGTGAAAATGATTCTTTTTCTTTTTCGCTCTTTCTCTCTCTCTCTCTCTCTCTCTCTCTCTCTCTTTTCTTCTCATCGCAGAAATTCGATTTCGCTTCAAGTCAAAAAGATTAATGCGACGAGACATTTCTAATCATCAATCATAAAGGCCAATGCCTGTTTTAGATGCGATAAAGCTGTTCATTGTTAAGCGGCTACGTTTTATAATTAATTATGCGCGTTATGCCAGATACACACACATACAAATAAACGTGCATGCACGCACGTTATATCAAAGATTTTTTTTTTTTGTACGTCGTTCGATCTTACCTTTGCCCCTTCTTTTCCCTTCCCTACGAGCAAACGCAAGATCATTTTCTTTTGCTCCCTTTTCTTTTTCTCTTTTTCTTGCTCTCTTTTCTTTCTTTCTTCTTTTTCTTATTTTTTTTCTTTCTTTTTTTTTTTTTTTTTTTTTTTTTTTGTTTTAACCGATTCACGATTTAAAATGTCAGGCCACATTTTCCATTTTCTCGAAAATGAAAATTCTCATTTCCTCTCTCGCTCTCTCTCTTTCCCTCTTTCTCCCTCTCTTTCCCTCTTTCTTGATAGATAAAGTAGGTACCTACTTAGCTTGCTCGTTAACTTTGAAAAGAGTTTAGAAAGAGGATTTCTAGTCTACCAGACTTCCTTTCCAATCACGAGACGAATCAAATAACTCGAATGTTATAACGTTTTAGAGCGGATGATCTTTTCCTTTTTTTATTTTTTTTTTATTTTTTTTTTTATTTTACTTTACTTTCTTCTTTTTTTTTTCCTATTGTAACACGTCAACGTGAACTCTTTTGCAGAAAGAGATAGAGACAGAGATAGATAGATAGAGATAGAGAGAGAGAGAGAGAGAGAGAGAGAGAGAGAGAGAGAACAGAGACGAGAAAGTACGGCGTTACCAATTTTGAAATCCAATCGAGTGGGATTACAATTTGTATCTCCCGCGAAAGGTTTCGTACGTGCGGAAAATGATTTGCACGCTAGCCTTTCAAACCTCTTTTCAAGCTTTTCTATCTGTCCATTTCTCTCTCCCTCTCTCTCTCTCCCTCTCTCTTCCCCTTTCTTTCTCTTTTTTTACTTTTCGTGTTCGTGTCTATCCACTTTTTACGCTTCTCGGCGTTCAGCCTTTGCTTTCACGGCGATGATGGAAGAGAAGAGAAGAAGAAGAAGAAGAAGAAGAAGAAGAAGAAGAAAAAGAAGATGAAGAATATGAAGAAGAGAAAGTAAAAGAAGAAATAGAAGAAAAAGTGGTGGAGGAGGAGGAAGAGGTGGTGGAAGTAGAAGAAACGGAAGAAAGAGAAGGAAAAATCGGATTTGTCCGGTTTGTTGGACCGACATTGCTGACTCCGCAGGCGCTCTCACAGTCGGTAATAGATCAGGGGCTTACCAAGCCCTCAAATGTAAAATACCTATCTAACTCGGTCTGCTACTTCGTACGTTCTGTCTTTTTATCCTTCTCTATCTGTCTATCTCTCTCTCTCTCTCTCTCTCTCTTTCTCTGTGTCTCTCTTTCTTGTTCTAGCCGAGTGCGTTTTTCGAATTCTTTCCTCGCGAATACCTTAACTCTGCTCGGCCGATACTTCCTTTTCTCCATCGCGTTTCTCGGACGTCGAGCTTCCTATCGCTTAAAATTCTCAATGTTACACGAATGGAGGAAACCCGTCTTCGTCTTCTTCTTCGTTTTCTCTTTCTTTTTTCTTATTCTTTTTCTTCTTTCACGTCTCTTGGTCTTCTTCATCTTCGTCTCTCTTAGTCGATCCTATTCCGTATCACCCTTTTTCCAGTGCCCTATCTTCCTTCCTTCCTCCCTCTCTCTCTCTCTCTCTCTCTCTCTCTCTCTTTTCTTTCTTTCTTTCTTTCTTTCTTTCTTTTTGTACCTGCAAGAACGTTTGTCCAGATAGCTTCGGTTACGCTTTGAGTTTTGTG